TTAAACGAGACTGCAGTAGCCCTTTAAGGTGATTCGATGGACGCCATATTATGTGTCAGAACGACATGCGATGTATAGCATCGATTAGTTTCATTTTTTCAGATACTTATCATTTTTCTCGAATTTTGAGATATCGCAATTGTGTTGTCAGGAGACTGAAGAATTCATTTATCAATTTTGACAAGCAAATTCAAAGTAATAAAGGCGTGGTTTTTCAGAGGAAAAAATATCCCATTCGATACTGATATCGAAACCACACTTGAATGCGATATTTCTCCTCTAAAAAAAAACCGTCTTTCTTAGGTTGAATTTGTTTGTCAAAATTGTCAAATGAATTCTTCAGTCTCCTGGTAACAGCATGTTGCCATCTCAAAATTCGAGAAAAATGACGAGTAGCTGAAAAAATGGAACCAATTCTGACAAAAAATATAGCGTCCATCGAATCACCTTAAGGTGATTTATCAAGCTCTCTGACGTGGTAACATGCGATGTATCGCATCGATTAGGTTATAAATCTAGGCAGCTTTTGACTTTTTTAGCCAAAAGGAGGACAATTGCCCCTGCGCATAAGCCTGAAGAATCATTTGAAACCAAAAAATTGGAAAAATTCAGAGAAACGAAAGCAGGACCCTGCTTGGAAAAAACCTCGCATTCGACACAGTTATGAAGAATTCAGAAAAATGAAATCAATTTCCTGTTTGGAAAAAACCTCGCAATCGATACAGAAATGCACCGATTCGATACAGAGCGTGCACCACCAACGTGGTGAACGCTCAGAATTGCTACTGAGGAAACGGATTTTTCAGCAGTCTTTTACTACGGCGGATTAAAACTAGATTCCTCAAGAAAACGAGTCATTGTGTCAAGAAAAATGTCAGTCGTGACAACAAAATTTTTCCTTTCCTCAAAAAATGCCTGGTAACAAAGAAGTTTGTTTGGTCGTCAAAAATAAAAACTATTTCGTTGGAATAAAATAATTTACATTGCGATAGGTGAAATTTCATTGTCGTGGTTTATATATTACTATGCACATTTGTACAGTGAGAATTTTCCTTGATGTAATGAAGTTTTTCCTCAGCCAGGAGAAATCCGTGTGGGGAAAAAGTTTAATCCCTTGCTCTAAGTACTCCTTCTATAGGTCATCTCTCCAGTAACTAATTTTCATTGTTGGATTAATCGTCATTGTCTCTGTACTTAGTAATGTATATTGTTAAATGAATTTTACTTATCGTTCTAATCACTTATATGTATATATAACATGTTTGAAGTAATTGCATGCACTCACTCTTCATATTTTCTGTAAAGACATTAATAGCCTAAGATTCTGAATGTCTAATAAAATTAACTAACTAACTATATCTCTCCTCTTAACAATTTATATTATAAACTTAATTGTCTTGCATAATTTACGCATCCTCCGAAAATGCATTCTTCTATTATTTCCAACTGTATCACTTTCGGGCAGCCTCCTTCTTTATCCTATCCACATGCTCAAAAAAATCTCTTCTCCAAACGCGAGTCTATTTGAAGTAGGATTCATCATAATCGTTAATTTCTAACTGGGAAGGGAGAACGCCGTATGAGCCATCAGGTGTTGCCAAATTTTTATCGACGAATTAAGAATTTTAAGTGAAATTTGTTAATATTTGCTCTCCAATTTTTCAGAGGATTTTGTTCGTAAATTGATCTACAAAGTCTGAAAATTTCAAGGAAAAATATTCATACCTTTCCTCAAAATGGGTCACTAAATCTTGTTTACTTTATTTAATATTCTGAAAGTATACTAGGTGAGTAGATAATGTGGTGATTATTTGCATTTATATGGAGCAAACATCGCGAAGAAAACCGCTTTGGAAAAATCTAAAAACCGCAAGACATTTCAAACGCACCCGAATGGCGGGAAACTAACGGTGGTGATGTACTGCCTCAATTAAACTTTTGTTCTTTCATGAGCGAAAAGTTTTAGTTTTACGCATCGAAACGTTAAAGAGCTTAGTTAGGAGTTATTTCAGTAATTCTCGTTGCGCAAATATTGTTTTGCGTGAAATTTTGATCAGAAAACATGTATCAAAATGTTTAAATTCGTACCTTTTCCACAGGTCCGTTCTGGGAACTGAGCGCTATAACAAGGAGACTTTAACGCAGGAGTAGAAAAGTTACACAATTTTTAACTCAAAGCTCGTCTTGTGCCCACTTACTCAGACAACCATAGGAGAAATAATTTTAGAAAACAATCATCAGAAACTCATTGGAAAACACTTTTGACTGATTAGACAGCGATAAATTTGCAAGTTGGATCGTGAACACATTTTTGTTAAGTTTTCAACGGCTTTAGACATCTTTAACCGAAATCAGCTGACAACTGCATCAAGCGATGTCTATACGTAATATCCTCTCCTGTTTTTTTTGTTTTTTTTTTTNTGGGGGGGGGGGGGGTTTTACTAATCAACATTTGATGTAAAAATTTACAAGAAGTTTCTTAGCGTCATATTTTTCAGAATTCAATTGAAAAATAAAACATGAGAGAAAATGAAGGAGCATAAAATGGAGTTAGAGTAGAGTTAGGTTGTTTCGATCTAATGCCGTCCAAATGATTGCCATTGAAGGTGTTCGGTTTTGGTATCAGTAGACTGGAACCCTTAAGGGACTCATAGGAATAGGATTCGTCGTGAAATATGCTAAAACGAAGCTAAAACTAAACGGCCTACGGTGGATCGAGACAACGGAAGAGGTCGGATAAACTTTGGAAACTTCAAAAGCTTATAACTCCGTTTCTACAAAACTTTGAGGTTTTAAAGGTGGTTCCATTGGTTCCTTTGTAAAATTTCCTACTAGAACCATCCTATAAGTTTAGAATGAGACGAAATAAACATCAAAATATGCAGATTTAGTAAAAAATGTCATGTCCAACCTTTCTGATTGACTCGATCCACTGTGCGCCCCGTGGAGACCAGCCGTTAACTGGACTGTATTTTGCAATTTGGAACTATATATTCTGGCTTATCTGAAAAAACACTTATGTGCATAGGGAAACTTATGGCACATACGTTGTTTTTCAACCGGGACAGAATTTATAGTTCCAAATTGCAAAATGCAGTCCAACTGTTAAATTGGCTGTTGACTTATCTAATAACTGACCATTGAGCTTCCGGTGACGTAATATACCGAACAAGTCTATCAAATTTTGGCATGTTTGCTGTGCGAAATGCTGAGCACGTTGTTAAAAATTCACCCAATGAGGTAGGTTAAGAATTGAATGCTGAAGTCTCGAGAGCAAAAAATGTCACCTATGTTGGGTCTCACCTTGGCTCTGGATGGGCTTAGAGCGATTTGAAGGGTAAAAGTTAATTTTAGCATGGGCCTTTGCGAAGTCGATTAGTTCATCGGTGGTCAAGGCAGCTCGGCGGCGGGCAGGTCACCTGTTGGAGATGAGTATGACGAGCCGTGAACAATACAGCGAAGTACGGTTAGAGCCCCAACAGCATTCGGCGCACGTCTCGAATCGAGCACTTGGCATCCAGCGCGCCTGCTCATTCTACCGTGCAAAGGAAAAACGCCGTATGTGTCTTCAGGCGTTGCCAAATTTCCTTTAACAAATCACGAATTTTTGGAAACGTTTGTGAGGACTTCTCTTCCGATTTTTCGGAGGATTTCATTGAAAATTTGATCTAAAAAGTCTGAAAATTTCAAGAAAGAATATTCATAATTTTCTTCAAAAGTAAAAAGTTCCCGATGGAAAATTTGGCAACATTCGAATGCTCATACGAGGTTTTTGCTTAACGCGGCAGCATTGTCATAGGTTAGTTCATCGATTAGCCGAGTACGAGCCATTCCTGCCGGCCGGGCCCCCTCCCGAAAAATGCGTAAAGACCCCGGACGGATTTTTTTCAAAAAAATATGCCGCCTGATTACCAATGAGACTTGGCCTCCGTCCAAGTACGTGTGGGAGTGAAAGGCCCTTTATGCTGACCAGCAAAAAGGGCCTTTCACTTCGCCTCGCCGCGCTGCCAAGTCGCCGTGAAAAATCCGCGGATTTCCACGATTCCGGTGCGCCGTGGGGCGATTTTTCGCCGCAACCTGACACCCGAAGCACCCGTCGCAATACGGAACCAGTGCAGGATCGTGGACACACGTAGGATGTGTTGAAACGTAGCAAAAGAAACCTCATCCGTCCCAGTTTGAGCCCAATTAAAACGTAGTGAGGAAGTAAAAATATTTCGACGAAAATCTAGCACAGAAAGCTATGTACTAGGATAGATGGGGATTTCACACGAGATGTCAACTGTAAAATGTATCGGGTGTCATGTGGGCAGACTGATTCATGCCTAACTAGTCGGTGACATCACTCTGCGATGTCCATTCACAGTAGGTCAATATATGTATGATCATATTCAGTTTACAACCTCCCGAAAATGCAAGAGGACGTGGTTATTGCAAACTTTTGCTGCAGCTGGAGGAAGAGTGCTCTAACATACGCAACTTTTGAAGAGCTGCCTCTTGCATAAAACATACAATGAGCAGTAAGCACATGGGATAATTTGCGTAGGAAAATTGCGCACTTTTGAGTCTCCCACTTTATTGATCAAACTATGTCAAAGATCTCATTTGTAGAAATTGCATTATTCCAGCGAGACAGCTGTTTAAGAAACTCAAAATTAATTTATTTTATCGTGCAGGCTCCTTCATAACGATAGGTAACAAAAAAATTCTACTCCACGTGTAACATATTTGCGTATACCTTTGACTAGTATTCAGGAAGGTATGCGAGTGTGATTTACTAGCAATTATCTTGGGCTCCGTGCAGAGCCATCAAACCGGGATAGCTTGCCTGTGTCAAATTAGGTATTTGCCCATGAAAGCAACCGCTTATACCAATGCGCGAGAAGTTTCTTAGAGTTTTCCTTGCCATCCACCCAACCAAAATTTCCACCTTAATTTGAATACTATTGCATCTTAAAGTTAATAAGCTGGAAGTTAAAGGCTCTAATGAAACAAAGAAAAAATGGACAATAACAACTTGTATTGAACAAAAATAACACAAAACCGCTAACATCAAATCATCAAGTAGGTAAATAAATGACTAGAAACTGTATTTGACTAAATAATAGTCGAATGTTTGACGATTACTGCAGTACCTACACATTACATTTGTCCGCGGTTTTGCCGGAAGCAATGGATGAAATTAAACCTCAGGAAGTTCCTACACGAATTTAGTAATTGAGCATTGACTTGAAATATTGTGTGCTTAAATTGTTTGTTAGGCTGTGACCATTTCTAAAGAGAGGTGACTATTTTTACTTTTGAATGAGTTTAATAAAGATGTATGAAGAATTAAAAAGTAAGTGCACAAATAAAAATGTTTTTACTTTCTTAGCGACGAGTTGTTTACCACAAAAGGACTCTTGGAATCCGCTGAAATAATCTGATAAATTTTCTTTCTATGATGGAAAACAGGAGCTGATCGAAAGTCATGTTATACTTACAATTATTTAAGTGATACTATATAAAAATCTTCTGAGCCTTTGAAAAAGAATATACCCGTTTTGTAAGCATTTAAAATATTTTACTAACTAGAGGACCATCAAAATCGTCCAGCTGCTACCATTGTCTCGATAAATAGGTGGTTTCTTCCTCGGAAGAATTTGAACAGGCCATTCATACCCCACGCATCTCCGAAAAAATTAACTCCAAGCCAGTAAGGAACTTTTTTCTCCACACCCCAGCCGATAATTTTCACGTGCTGAATTCGAATGTAGGGCCCGTATCCATAGTGACGGTAGATCCCTGCCGGAAAACCATAAAAAAGTTAATGGTAATGGTAACTGTAGATTAAAGTTGTCAAAAACACAGGTAGTATGAAAGTTTTATCAAATGAAATGCAATTTCAGATCTTGATTGTTGGTCTCATAACACTATTTTCAATTTTTATCAGTGTTATGAAGCTCCAATCGGAGTGATTATTTTACTGGAAAGCTATTTTTTTCTTTTTGTCCTTAAATTCACAAAAATTTCTCGGTCCATTTGTTTTTATCTGGACTTTTACAATGACATCGAATTTTAGGGTGATCTGACCGACAATGAAGGTCTTGTCAATTTTCGAGATTTCCGGATTAATATGGATGTTCTATTCAAAATGGGTATGTTAAACACATGACTACACACAACTGACTGCATGTTCTGAGGTTGCAATCGCACTAAAGTCACGTTGAGCGTATTAGAAATGTCTAAGATCCACTCCTTAATGCACAAATTTCGCAATTTGTAGCACTATTTTCAAATTTACCGCATTCGCAGGTCATTATTCTTCGGTCCCCGGCAAGATTTGCCGAGAGAGAAACTTCAAGAACGCGGTAAAAAAAAAAAAACGCGGTTTGAAAAATAGTAATACAGATTGCACAAATTGTGCATTAAGGGATGGGCTCTAGACTTTTTCTATTATGCTCCTAGAATTTTCTTGTGCCTTTAACATCTGAAAGCGTATTCAAATGGTTGCATCTTTTGAATGTAAGAGATCTTTTATTGACACCTTAAATTCTGAGTTGTACTTTGACCCTCTCTTTATCTGCATACGTAGCTCTTAAGATTTACTTAGGTAAGCAAATAAGCATCACTTAATGTTTTCTCACCTTTTTTATAATCTAAGAAGTCTTCAAATAAAACGAATCCTGCTACAATCGGCCCGTTCTTCAAAATGTCCTTTTTCATCTTTTTTTCCTCGTATTCCTCAATTTCATAGATACATTTGACTGAAAAGGTCAAGAAAATCATTCGATAAATATTATTTTTTTAGTTTCTTTCGATATAATGATCTACGTATCTTATCATTGAGTAATACTGAATCATATACCAGACTATCAATAAGAAAAGAACAACTTAATTTGGGGAAAAGGCTGCAAATAAAGAAAAAGGAATAAACAAAACCCGGAACGTTTCAAAATATTAACAATTTCATTTTCAACCGGAAAATAAATTAAAAACAAAAACGAGCCGTCGCTACGCTCTTATTGCGAGACCGAGACTTGCAGCCTTTTCCCCAAATTAAGTTGTTCTTTTATTATGTGTTTTTTGGCTGATTAAGTTGTTTCTCATTCCCTTACTATCAATAAGTGCATGCTAGGAAGGCTTAAGCTTTCATTATTTTAAATCCACTAAAATTAAAATGATTAATTCAGCCATTCGAAAATTTAAAGAGTGAAAAAATTTCTTAAAATGGAGCCAACGTCGTGAAACATGTTACTGCGCAAGAATTGTCATACTTTGGTGGTTAGCTTCAAGTGTCGTACTCACGATTATTGGAACAAAAATACTACCGTGCTAAGGAAAAACGCCGCATGAACCTTCAGGCGTTGCCAAATTTCCTTTGATAAAACACAAATTTCCTGCTAAAAGTATGAGTATTTTCATTCCAACTTTTCAGATAATTTTGTTTGCAATTTCACCTAAAGTTCCTGAAAATTTCAAATAAACATTTCATCGAAAGAAATTTGGCAACTCTCGAATGTTCATACGGCGTTTTTCTTTAACATGGCAGAATACAACTATTGCGTGTCTCCCTGTCGTGCGTGTAGTATAGTTGGGCAACTTAAGGCGCTTTTTCACGCTCGAAACCATATTCCTGCCCAGTTGAAACTAGGTATATTCACTGAAGAGATCTATGTATATTGTAGATTCCTACCCGGAGAGCAATCAGTGCAGTGCTTCTTCCACTTTCATGATCTGACGCATTAAGAACTATTGGTGACGATATTTAGTAAGGTTGCAATTATAAAAAACAACAATGCAGCGATTACTTACATTTATAGTAATCTTCGTCCAGCTTTTTAGGGTATACAGGATTAGTACATTCTTCAGGACACTCTAAAGGACTGTACTTGTCATTGTAGTCGCATGGTTCGAGAGAAATTTCATCTGGATTTACAGGAGTATTAGAATGATTGCAAGGCATTATCTCATAGGGAACACATCCCTGTAACATGAGTAAACGATTACGTTTGTCATTTTATCAACTTATAAGCAACAGCACAACCATTAACCAATAATGCCAACACTTACAAATTGACTTTTTGAATTAGCTATTAAGCGAACATCAATTATAAGATTCAATTATTGTATACCGGATGCTTTACCCCGGTTTTTGCCATCTTCCATCCACAACCCCGTAATCGTAACTATGGCCATATTATTATGGACCTAAACCCACCTCTCTCATGAGCGTGTCAGATATATAATATATCGATGGCCAACGTGTAAAACCACGTATATTCAGTTGCGACGGCGCAAACTTCATTCCGTTTTTTCTTTGGAAAACGAGTATATTCTTGAAAACTTGATTGACTATTCCCCTCCGTCAGCAGAGTATTCTGTAGGAATTTCAAGCTATAAAGTCGGCTTGGTGTTTTTCGAAAAAATAAAATTAGAGCGAAAATTTTGAAACACCGCGCCGCAATGAAGATACGGGGTTCTACACTTTGGCCATCCATATGTATTATTTTAAAAACATTCGAATTCATGGGAATCAAAAATCTGCTAAGAGCCTAAACTGTTCAATACTGTTCATGAATTTGAGGCAAAATTTTCGACGTTGCTTCTTCACTGACTATATGCGAACTTTCAGGGTAGTAGAATTGTTTGAAATTATCATAATTTTTAGAATATCCGGCTGAAGAGAAAAAATCCATTTTTAGTTAAATTAACGGTTTATGAATTTGAGCCACCATCTTCAATAATTTCGGTGGTTCGGCCCTAGAGTAACGTGAAAGTGAATGAAATATTTTGTTTTTTATCCTTTTCTTTAATGACGACTAATTAGGAATCAGTATTGCACGAAGTTTTTTTTTTTTATAATTTATCTCTACTTTTGTAAGAAACTGCTCGAACATCTCCGTACAAACATGCATGTCTGAAAATGTTTTTTTCTTTAAAAGAATGTATGAGGGTTAATTTTGAAACACGGTGCAAGAAATCTGCTTCAGTTCTATATTTGAATTACATCTGAATGGCATATTTTTAAGTCATGCACCACCACGTCAGAACATTCAATATTTCGATTGCCGTAAGTTGTTTTTCTTTTTCAAACTCGACGGTTTGATAAAACGTGTTGGATACTTTGAATCTTGGGACCACTTACTGATCGAGTTGTGTTGTCAGAGGCATAAGGACTCCCTGTCGGAATTCCGGTATGTTTCATGAACTCCAGAGGCGTGCTTAAGAGCTCGTTCACTTCACATGCGCTGCTACATGCCATCAAATACTGCGCCGACAACGTGGATTTGACCGTTCCGTTTGAGGAAATGCACAGGCGATCAGCAGCCATTGAGGCAACCGCAAGAACCTAAAACATGTCGCGGAAGTGGCCCATGAGTACTTGTACCATCGATGTTAGATTATACAGAATCTTCGATCTGGGGTCACTTTGATAGATCCAATTGACGGTAGATACAGATATCGTCAACTTGATGTTCGCCTTCAAATCCGCCGCATAGGCAACAAACATACCGGGAAGCGTGCACGGTTCGTCTCAGAGGGAGGTAAATGATTCTGTTTTGCCCACTCAAAATTCCTTCGGGATCTTGAAGTGAGATGCGTACACAGTCATTTAAGCCTAAAATGGAAATACTCTGTAGAGCTCTTCGAAAATAAAATCGATTTTTGTGTTTTTGGCGCTAGAATGGCCTCTAAAGATGATCGACGATTCAATTCACAGACGAACCGTGCGCGGGTAGTTATCTATTAAAAAACACACACACATATATATAGCTCGCTCCATAATTTTTGATACAGCCAATAAGGAATGCGTAAACCTATTGGCAGGTGTCGACAACTTAAGGCTTGCCTTAAATTTCGCCGTACAGGAAACGAACACACCTGGGAACGCAAGTAGTTATCCATTCGAAAAACACACTGAACCTGCTCGCTCCGTAATCTTTGAATGCTTTGGTTTCACAGATAGATTTTTCAGTCCCCCAGCAACTTTACAAAAATTATGGTTCGATAAAAGTTGCTGTAATTAAGGGATAATATCCTCAACTTTTGAACTAAGATTCGGAGAAAATCATTTGTACTTTAACTATCAGTTAGATAAACTAAATTCCGCTTAAATTTTCGATTTAAACACAAACCTGTTCATAAAATAAGCATGTTCATTTTAAATTGAAACTTTACGAAGTTGCATTGCAATTACAACGCCTTCAGTACTGCCGTGCTAAGGAAGAACGCCGTATGAACCTTCAGGCGTTGCCACATTTCCATTGATAAAACACAAATTTCCTGGGAAACTTCTAAAAATTTTGTTTCTAATTTCTCAGATACTTTGGTTCTCAACTTCACCTAAAGTTCCTGAAAATATCAAGGAAAAATATCCATAGCTTTCTTCAGAAACAAACATTTTAGCGGAGAGAATTTGGCAACTCTCAAATGTTCATACGACGTTTTTCCTTGGCACGGCAGAGTACATGTTAAATGAAACAAACTACTTAAACTCCTGGAAAGTAATCATGGAAGTATATCCAATCATTTGAAGGCGTTTCTCCGTGATTCAATATAATTCTCCGGCTTTCTTTTTCTCCTCCTGTTTTATCTTTTCATAGAAACTTACCAGGCCCGGACTTAGGGCGTGTGTAGGGCGTGCGGCGCACACGGGCGCCAGCCTTTGGGGGGCGCCGCGAAAGAAGAAGAGAGGGAAAAAAAGGGGGGGAAAGGAAAAGGAAAAAAAGGGAAGAAAGGACAAGGGAAGATTTGTCATGATATTGAAGATTTTATTCACTTCCTATATTTAAGATATAAAATAGGACAAGAAAAGGCGGGGACGAGGCTGAAAAAACACAATAATTTATAAAATCTGCAGGTAATGAAAATTTCTGCGATTATTCATCTCGTGGAAAGTATCGAAGTAAGTGTGGTTTATCTGAGAATAATAAGCTGCCTGTCATGATGAGACCTATTTAACTTATTCTTACGATTGTTGGGCTCAGCTCTCGTAACTAAGTTGAAATTAAAAGGAAGCTGTACCTACACTACTGCTACGACAGTTTCCTTGGTCCCATGGTGTTCCTATCAGTCCCGCACATTCCTTCCATTGATTCCTGGCATCAAAGACGCGAGGCAATTGGACGTCTTCCAGATCTAATGAATTCGGGCAGAACTGATCTATATCTCGCAGGGCTGAAACTTGTTGTTCCACCTCACTAGGCACCATGTCTTTATACTCGCCAAGCTCGCCTCCAAGAAATTTCAAATCCTTGTAAAAAATATGATGAACATTTGAACAAGTAACTTACATATTATACTGGTAATGTTTTTTTGTAAACTAAGGATGACCAGGAGGCAAGTTTTATTTTATGATACTTTTGAACATATTTTACCGATGTATTTCTCCGCGCGAACGATTCCAACAGTTTTAAATCATTATTGTCTTCTTCTTTCGAAAGAGAGATAAAAACAATTATACACTGAAAAAAAACTCCCGCCTTGGGAGCCGCAACTACGGGCTATATAGACATACCGTCCGTTCCGGGCTCAAAGGCCGAAAATTCCGGCTGCTGGAGGCGTAGCTTCGATTGCTCCGGGTTCAGAGGCCGAAGCTACGGCTCCAGCAGCCGGAAATTTCGGCCTTTGAGCCCGGAACGGACGGTATGTCCATATAGCCCGTAATTGCGGCTCCCACGGCCGGAGTTTTTTTCTGTGTATTATAACTATTAAAATCATACTTGAGAAATAACTGCTAAAGGTTTGTTTGATTGTAAATAATTTCAGAAGATTTTGTTACTTATTTCTTGCGGCAAACCTGAATGTCGGTGACTGGAGCGTACAGCCCACTTACAAACTAGAAGCTTCAAAGAGGTTCGTCAATGCCTTTCCTGGCCCTCTCATTGGCCAGCGGTTTAAGTCGGGGCAATCGATGAGTCTCTTTGACGCCTCTAGTTTGTAAGCGGGCTGGACGTCTTAGAAAAAATCACTCGCGGACGAGCTAAGTTTGAAAATGCGTCATTCAATCACTCAACTAATGAGCGTCAGAGTGTCCTTAGGACTTTTTGATGGGCACAACGTAATTTGTGCATGATTTTAATCGTCGAGAGTCCCCTTAGTTAGCTGTATTTCTGATGTGCATTATACCGCAATTGATGCGTCGGGTGCAGAAAGAGCATTAATTCTTGGTTGCGGTGTTTCAGAATTATATCTGCTAATTTATATCTTAGAGAAGAGACTATTCAGTGAATTTCCTGAATTTTGAATTTTTCTACTGAATTATTCGCAATCCGCATTGTGAAATTATGAAGAAAATTCAGTCAAAGTTTCAACAAATTCTATATATTTTCTCCCGTCATAATGGATGAAACGTTCCGAGACACTGCAACCAAGAAATACCCTTTCTGCACCCAACGTCTCAATTCTGTCACGATGAACCACTTTTATTAAATTATTCGGGCTCATATTGGACGTCAAAATCCTCACTTTTATAATTATCCATAAGGGAACTTAATGAGAGATGAGATTCGGAAGAACCGTCTTTCTTAGACAGACCGGAAACCGGAATCAGTATCAAAGTTTTGGGTCTGAGAACGTGTCCTGAAGGGAGGAAGAGTACTGGAGGGGTTCTCCAGAGGCGGATCCAGCAATTTGGCAACACCGGGTTTCCTCCTTTTAAACCTATGAAAATGTATCGATTCTTGGAGGGGCCAGGTGCCCCGACAAGAAACGATTATTGAACATGGGTTTAAATGGAAGGAATCCATTGCTGCCAAATTGCTGGATCCGCCTCTGGAGTTCTCAGAAGTCCAAAGGAGTCCCCAGGAATCCGGACAGCCAAGTGATTACCTACATCTAAACTTTCCATGTTTTAAGTCGATTTACGAACTCTCCATAAGAGCGAAGCTTTATTAGTTCTTATTCTCTTTCGGACCAGTTTTTGTCATTTTAATGTATTTCCCCCTTTTTCTCAAAAAAATCGCTGCAGAGTTTTTTTTCAAAGTTTTCATGAATTATCTTCAAGGTGTAAATAGTGCGTCCTAAAATTGTTTAACCGTAAATAAATCGAGCTTCCACTCCAAAACTTGGTTGGCTAAAAATACGTTTAATTATCACTTACCTCTATAAGGGTTGACAGGCTGGGGTAGTCTGAGCCCCATTGAGCAAATGACGATGGCAGATCTCCGAGGCAGATAACGGATATTACAATTACCCATAGCAGATGCATCCTTGCCAATTGAAACTTCCCGATAGCTGAATGAATCACACAAATAGATAAATAGATCAGTACGAAAAAGTGTCTATGATGCTGCCAAAACCGAATTTCCTTCAAATTTTCTGAGTCATAGACTATAATATTGTAAAAAAAAATGTCTTTACAAATTTTGAAAAATAAGAGCTTAAGTACAAGTTTTCCAAGAAATTCGTAATTAATCGAAGGAAATTTGGCAACGCTCGAGTGTTCATCTTCATTTTTCCTGAATACTTCAGTTGAAATGAAAGCCGAGCATAAGACAATGATACGGTAATAACGCTTTGATGCAATGATTCGTGCTCTAGGGGCATCCGTGTTGCATTCGAAAAATTGAAGGCACTCCGGTCATCCTAGCCTATGATACGTTGCAATGACTCTGTGTGGCGGCAGGATACATATCCTGATATGCGAAAATGGTGCTAAGACATCGTTTCCTATACCAGTTTTGATGAGATCGGAAAATATCGTATAATTCGTAAGGGCGCGCCGCGCACTGCTGCGTACTCTGCTTCATAGACAAGGGTGGCAGGAGCGCCTTCCATTGTTTCATATGCAACACACATGTTCATAGAGTACTAATAGTTGTATCAAGGCGTTAATCAACAACACTGAATGTGTTGATTATGTTAGCTGAGATATTAGCTTAAAAAGCCCCGTCCCGTTTTACGTTAACTGTGTTTTGGTTACAAAAACAAAATTCAAAATGTTGAATTTCTTCAATTAAAAAACAATTTTACTTAATCGATCTTCTTCTAATTTGTGATGCACAATTTCATCAGTTCATGTTGACACAACGATCTGGTGATCAGTCGTGGTACAGTGTTGCAAAGTTTAGGTAGGTACATAAGTTCTCTCGGACTGCCCATGCCAATATTTTTTGGGCGCTTCTGGGTACCAGATGCGCCCTTTCCAACCGTTCGACTCCCCCGATGTAACATGTACTATACTACATGCCCTTTTGCCTTATGGGTAATGACGCCATTCTGGTACACCCGGGAAAATTTGGAGATTGTTCTGCTCTTGGTATTCGTAAACATTTTCGTGAAATGTTTTGTTTTTGACATAAGAATCTCGCACGGACGTATTACCTGGTTAAATTATTTTAGGGCCTCCTTATGCTTTAAATGCTTATATCCGAGGCAGTACTTTCAGATCGATTTGAAAATTTCACGGACAGTCACGTGATCTCTTCATTTTAGTGACGTATTACTGTGCTACTTTGTGATTGGTTCATTTTCTTGGCGCAGCATCGACACGTCAGCTGTTTGCGGCATTGAGCGGAAGGTTTAAGGTTATGTCATGGACCAAGAGCATCCAAGAGAATGAATTAGGACCCCCAACTCCAGTTAGCGGAGACATTAGCGCTTTTCATCCATGGCCGATGTCACCGCCGGCCGGCCGGTCCCTCTCTTCCCCGCGACCCGCGCTTCCCCTCCCCAATGCTGAACTCCTCTTCACGCGGCCCCGCTCCCCCGCGACCTGCGCGCCCTACCTCGCGGCGTCGCGACGCCGCTGTCCGCTAGATCGCGTTGACGCACCAGCTTTAGAGGTCCCGCCGCTCTTTCCCGTCGTCTGATTTACATTGCATCCTTTATGTTTCCACTCACCACCAATGTAGATTCATCACAAAATGCTTGTAGAATGTTTCAGATCTTCGCGGTCGATCCGAAGTGTTGAAGAGTCTTGCGGTTAAAGAATCCCACTTTTAATTCCAATTTCGTCAGTCTTCGGGTACATAGGTTGATAGTAATATGCTTTGTCAAAGAAGCGCCCTCCAACGCTTGGGCGTTGGAACTGCTTGTTTTAATTGTTTTCGGTTAAATGAGGTCGAAGGATGTTTTTGGACAGGAGGTAAATAGGTAATGGACCTTAAGAATCAGACTTTCATGATTTCGGGGTCTCTCAGACCCCTTTCAGGATTCATATCCTACTTGATCCCCCCGGGGCCCCCGTCTCAGACATCAAGTGACCTAGAATAAGCCTGGCACGGGTGGTCTGAGACACCTTATACCTGATTTGCTACACTTTATCACGATCGCTAGATCGTGGCATCAACAACAGTCTCAATCTCCGAGTAACATCAACTGATGAAATTCAGCACCAGAATAAACGAGTAAAAAAAGATCGATTAGAAACCGTCCTCCACCGAACAACTTCAAAATCTTGGCATTTTCAAGGGTAAAAAATTCAAAATTTGCAATGATCTATTGGCATAACTAGGTTTAAAATCAACCTGGAGCTTTCACTGGAGGATTTTCTCATGCTGAGGTTCCCCTTTGGGCAGATTTGAAGGAAATTCCCGCGTTTCCAAAGAAAAAGCTCTTCTTTGGCATGCCCTCTTTAAGAAATTGAAATACATGTATGTTTCGTTTACTCCCTTTAGGATAATTAAACTTCGGGAAAAAATTTAGCACAGAGCTTATTTTTGGCCTCAGAATTAAAATTGAAGGCCTCGGAGGACATGGCACATAGGTGCAGTTTCGGCTATTTCGAGAAATCCGTGTTGGAAATTTCGACCTTTCACGGTACCTTATGGCGCAAAGAAAGTTCAAACTGACTTTTTGACAGGGCCAGATTTACCTACTTGCCACCCATGGGCCGCCTGTATTTTCCGCCCCCTTCTCATTTGTTTTAAAATATCAGTAGAAACCATCAAGTGAACGTGCTGGAGGAGGGGGGGGGGGCGTAAGACGCGTTCACCCGCGTTAAGAACATTTTTTGCAAAAGCCGTGTCAATACAACTAGCAAAAATTCACGGAACTTTGCACGAAAGTCAAGTTCCGTAAACCTATCTCTGTGCGGACGAGGCCCTCCATTTATAAGAAATGAACGAAACAATTATGAAAGAAAAAAAGTAAATGTGATTTTGTAATTTTAACTTCCGCCGCGCCGCTGCGCCGCGCTGGCCGTACAATGTTTTGTGCGATGCGTGAAGTATTCCTACAGTCTTGTGGGCGCTGTGCGCTTCACGCCGCGCTGCCCGCTGCTGAATTGTGTTTGACGCAATGCGTGAAGTATTCAAGCAGCCTTGTAGGCGCTAGGCGTTTCACGTCGACCGCTGCCGACCACGCTGTGTTTGACGCAATGCGTGAAGTATTCATGCAGTCTTGTAGGCGCTAATATGTGTTACATGCCGATTGCCGCGCCGAGGGCTTCTCCTTTTCATCTCAAGTCCGCGTCATCATTACTCTCTGCGCCGCGCCGTTCCAGGCCAAATTGCGTGTTTGGTTTTTTTCTTAACTCGACTAATTAAAGGTGCTACCTCTTGTATCACCGAAAGACGACAAAATTATAAATTACTATACTTTCAAGAAATGAGAGATTTTGTCACCTTCTCTCGTTTGTAAATTTTTCTCTGAATCAATTTTTTTGATACCTACATTTAAAAAAATTGCAAAATTTGTCGCCCCCTTTTGCCGCCATGGACCGCGGCCTATGTGACCACACCCAAAATCCGGCCCTGAATAGGAGCGGAGATTTTCAAACACCGCGAACGAGATACGTGGTTTGGGAGTTTCGCTGTCGATATGTAATAAAAAGCAGAGACTGATATTTAATGTGGTTGTTGATGTCTTTACTTTCGCAAGAGAGTTCATCTTCCTTGGAATTTGGGAGCTAATTTTTCACACGTAGATTATGCCTTAAACTAATTGTACTCGAAATCATTAACAACTCAATTCATTTAAAAACTGCGCTTTGTGCGCCTTGCCCTCCAAGGCCCTCAATTAAAGGTGCATTTTACTCATTAGCTTCCATGCAATTTTATCACGTTAAGTAGACACATAATTCTTGAGTTACGTCACTGAACTCTGCCATCCATGATACTTTCAAACTGCACATTTTAGCAAAATTCAAGTAAGAGGAGCCTTTGTCTGCCCGAACTTTCATTTGAAATTGATTTTACCACTCCTAAAGGGAGAAAATGTTGGTACCTACTTGAGTAATATTTCCTTTACAAATTAGAAAATATGACTCCATGGTCTCCTCATTTCATTGGTCATTCAAATTTTGACTTAAGAATAATGACCCATCGTTGTCATGAATTGAGTACCTATCTAACATTAAACTGAACTTCCACTGACACACAAGTTTGTAGAAATGTATACTATAGGCACAGCAACCTCCCTTTCTTCCTTACTATCACTAAGATGTGAATGGTATAAATAGGAAAATGGAAATTTACTCTCTGATAACTTCAGGTGCTGAATGATGAAATACTTAGGTTTAAAACTGAAAGAGTAAAAGGACAGAACAAGATTGAAACTGAATAAATTACTTTATTATCACCAACAGTCGATCAATAACTTAAAATAATTAACTAAAGGAGATTATGTATTGAAATCCTGCAGCAGTTATAAACTGAGGGAAAATAGCGTACCTTGTGCTCCTTAGAGGTGCAAATACTTGCACTCACCGAAATCTTCCTTATTTCAATTAAAACAGCAGCAAAAAATAGTATTAAATTCAATTAGTTACATTAACACAAAAATCTGAATGATTCATTCACTGCAAATAGAAAAAAAGCCGGTAGAAGCACACTAAACAAAAATAGGATTGATTATTTCTTCAAAGATAGCACATTTTTTATGATCCATCCATTATTTTTGGTAGTATCAAAAAAGAGAGATTAACACATATGATAGGGATATTACATAGCACACCGGATGAAAGAGAGAGAGAAAAAACATAAGATTGCGGTTTGGTGCAGATAAGCCTCATTTGAGAGCTTCAAACATTATCTTCCATTCACTCAACAACTTTTCCAATTTCTTCATTCTAAGTATTGAGAAATTGTTAATCTCAAGTATTGCCACTTGCACCTTCGTTCTGTGAATTGTGTTTGCTCAAACTGTCAGGCTGACCCTACTAAATTCACTACTTAGCTGTAAAATGAATTTATTTAACCTCTCTTGTTTCCCTTCGTTTCCTGTTCATGAATCTTGTCATTTAAAATATTGACATTAAAAACAAAGATTAGGTAACAATGTAAGAGAAAAATATAATGGAAGTCTATGTTCGCCAACCAAAATTTGTTTCACAGAGAAAAATTTTTAAAAATTTATTAAAGGAGGGTGATGCTACAGAATTACTGAAGTAAAATAGTATAAAAGTTCCTTAATAATGCAGGGGTATCATAAATTTGAAAAATGTTATTTCCCACAAAAACTAGCTAAAACTGAACTTTGCTACTACATGCTAATCACTAATACATTGTCATCCAATTTAGAGATGTTTCACGTGAATTTTGGTTGGAAATAAACAAGCGGAATGTTGGAAATCATATAAGAAACAATTGTGAACCAAGAAGAAATAGTGGCTTTAAACTCTTAAATTACAGTCCAAGCTTGGAATTCTATTTTTCTTTTATTCAACTTGCTTGGAAATCACAGACTTCTAAAAGAACAGGTTAAACGATATTACTTTCATTTCCTGTAAGGAGTTTGTGGGGCATAGAAAACCCGATTATTTTAAACACACAACATATTTTGTATGTATTTTTTCTTTATGCAATTCTAGAATCATCTTTTCAAATTTACAAAAGTTGTTAATTTATTCCTGTTCCTTACTTAACAATGACATCAAACTGAGAAGCAAGAAACTTTGCTGATCAATCAGCATGTAGTATTTCTTTAAACTCACAACATCAAACGTGTTTTGGGAAACATTCTTTTAAAAAATTATATTATGAGCTTGGAAACATTCAGGAGACAATTGGAACATTCTCTACCGGATTGAAACAAAAATTATACAACCGATTAACTTATTTCCTGCTAATTTGTATCAACTATTGCTGCTGAACTCAATAAGACAATTCCAGGAAGTTTTAGCAAGCTAAAGAATAAAATCTAATTAAGTTATTTAGGATTGCTTGAACTTGAGAGGATGGCCAACACAGTATGAAAATTTTTACATCTTACATAAAGGGGATTTGAATGAATACAATGATTTGAACTAGGAACATTAGGAACTTTTTGTGCTCATGTTATATCAGGGTTTTGAATCTGCGATTGACACACAGTGCTTTAAATCGACAAGATGACAGCACATCCCAGCATTATCCCTAACCTGCTAGCAGGTTTGTTTCTCAATGTATTCAAGACATACATCAGATGCAAAAATAAGTCACTGATTTGAAGGAGGGAGGGAAGTTTGTGAGATAGAACGTTTGAGAATCGCTGTTATAAATGATAAATGTGCTTTGAAAATACAGATCTGAGATATGCGATTGTATGCCTAAAATAAGTAGGTGACAAGGACTAAAATCTATCCGGCTGGCTTATGTTCTTCACTTGCAGCATTGAAACTTTTCTGAATCAAAACACTGAATTTTAATTCCTTTTTAAATAGATAACGGGAAAAATTCAAATTCAGACATAATTTGCTCTGATTTAAATTTTAATAAAAGCTAGAGGATTTTCTACAGAAATTCATGGTAGATAATGGGAATATTTTACTGGCCTTGTAAGAAACTCATGAATAATTTACATCAAATTCACATGAAATAAAACTACAAACTTAACATCACAGTTTTCTTAATTATACATGCTAATTTTACTTTCTACAGGCTCTCCTAACCAGAGGCTAATGTAGACACCTCAAACAGGTAGATGGAAAGAAGAGGAGAGGGATGCCCTCTTTGATCTGCCAATGGAAAAATACGAAAAGAAGACAAGTGTAGGAAAAATATGTGCTTCATAAGCTACACCCAAGTAAGCTCATCAGCAAATATATTGGGTAAAGGGTCATCAAGCATTGAATTTCACCTAACCCTGGCACAATGACAAAAACCAACTCAAGAAAGAAGAACATTTTGTCCCCCAAAAAAGCAGAGCTAAGAGAAAGACTGAGGTCGTACTCACTTCATTTTTTAAAAATCATTATATACTTTGCAGAAAAACGTTTGTAACATCTTCAGTTTAAGTGTTGGTATAACTTGAACTAAAACTAAGGAGGGTACTTCTGAAGTGTTCCATTCAGACCCTCGTTCCGATTAAATCACAGGTAACAAAGTTTGAAAAATGAATTCTAGCTAAATTTATTTACCAACTAAGAAAATTCCACCCAGCAGGTGTTTCTGCTGTACCACTGGCAACAGCTGACAATTTCTTAGATTCATCAGGACTCAATTTAAGAATCGTATCAAGGACAGGAACCAGACGAGATCTTTCATCACCACTCTGTAAGGTGATAAATTTAAAAATGACATTTTTCAAATACTCTGAATTAGTGATGTGAGGTTGTCTTTCAAGACTGCGTTCTAATCGACGAATTTCTTCTTTCAAAAATGAATTCAGCTGCTCATTGCGGGCGTTGTTCTTTTCAGACTCATTTAGCAAAGCAGATAAATGTTGCACTTGGGACTGATATGTTGCTAAATCATGTTTCAGCTCATCTATTTGAACAACTTCATTTTCAGAATTCAAATCAGAGGCTTCTAATAGCTGTTCTAATGGCATTATAGTTTGTTTTCTAGGATGAGGCAAATTGTAAGACAAAGGGGTTATGTCTGTGTTTTCAGAGCCTTCCCCTTCTTCACGGGTTGCAGAAAATTCAAAATCAGGGTTCGACTGTTTGAGGGAATCAGAACTAGTTTTCATTGCATCTTGTTCTATCTTAGATGATTCAATTTCAAGTGCAGAAATTCTTCCTCTTAGAGTTTGTAGCTCAGTTTCATACTTCAACCTTGCTTCTTCCATTTGCGACTTATGGCAAGAAATTAAGAGGTCAGTCTTAACTTTGAACGCCTTTAGCTCATTTTTGACCTCATCTAGTTCCTTGTTTTTCTTGGACAAAGTTGTTCTGGCTTCTTTCAGACCTTTATCGCATGATTCTTTCTCTGATAGTGCTTTATTCAAATTGAACTTAGCCGTGTCCAAATCAACAGATACATTTTCTAATTGTAATTTCAGAGCCTTATTGGATTCTTCTAACTGCTCTAACCGAATTCTCATGACTTCTTCCTCTTTTTGATTTGTGTTTTCTTTTTTGTGTTTTTCAAGAACACTGTGCACCCTAATTTTATAGGCTTGAAACTCAGATTTCATCGTTTCACATTCTTCTTGCGACTCGTGCAACAACTTTCTGGTTTTGTCTAGCTGGGCTGTTAGAGTATTTATTTGCTCAACAAGGGATCTTTCTTTCGCTATCGAAGAATTTTTAAACTGCGTGAACTCAGATGAGACTTCTGCTAATTGTAATGACAGGTCCTCACTGTGGCACTTCTCTTTTTCAAGATTTGAAGTTATCATACTGATTTCATCCTTGAATTTTTTTATAGAACCTTCAACCTCAGATAATTTACTTTCAGTCAAGCTTAGATTTTCAGCAATTTTTATGCTTTTACTTCGTTCAAAGGAAATTTGTGTTTCCATTGTCCCTATCTGGTCATCGAGGGTTTTTTTAGCCTTCTGAGCCTCTTGTAATTCATCTTGCAGGTTTTTCACATGACACTTCTCAACATTTAATTGTTGAGTTAAGTCCGAGACAGTCTTTTCATAATCTTGTAATTCTAAATTCAAAATACTTTGTTTTTTAGAGACACCAAATGCTTCCTCCAATTGTTGCCTTTGAGCAATCATTTCTTTTTCTTTTTCGACAAGTTTCTCTCGCATTTTGTTAACTTCTTTCTCTTTCTGCTGAGACACCATTTCAGCGGCTCTCTTTTCTTTTTGTAATACTTCTATCTGATTGGACAATGCATCAACAGACGTTTTCAGGGCATTCTTTTCCTTCAACAAGTTTGTAATTTCACCTACTTTATTATTCAATTCTAATTTGACTGTTTCCAGCTCTTCTGAAATTTTAATTTTATCATGCTTCTCTTCATCTAATTTCTTTTGCATAGCTTTCAAATCTTTTTGATACAGTTCAACATTGTCATAGGCCTTATCTAACTCTTGCTGTAGACACTGTGTGTTTTTCAATTTTGCAGTTAGCTGCTGAACTTTCTGCTGCAATTCGGACTCCTCTACAACTTTGTTTCTCTCTGCTTCAAGCTGGCGTGTAAGGTCATTACACTTTTTCTTCAGTTTAACAGCCACAACTTTTAATTTTGCATACCTGTCTTCAAAACTTTCTTCGATATCCTTCAATCGGTTTGCTTCCTCTGTTCGACTAATGGTGCTTGTGCTTAATGTATCATTTTCCTGGAAGTCTCGCAGTCGACTTAAATCCTGCTCATGCGAAACAATTAATTCATCTTTCTCTTTCAGAGAACTCTCTAGTTTGGACAACTCAGTCTTTAACTGATCAATAATTACATTTTTACCTTCAAGTTCCTGCTGTATTGTGGTCAATTGCTTTTCACACTTGACTAATGATTCTTCGAGTGAGGTTTTCGATGATCTTTCTGAGTCTACTTCAGCTAGGAGAATGCTTATCTCCTGCTCTAGCTGCTCTACCCTGCTGGTGAAAGATGAAGTAACTTCTTTAATCTCTTCATTCTTCTGCGATAATTTTTGTTCAAGTTTTGATATGAATTCGCCTCGCTGCTTTAAAATCTGAAAAAAAAAAAAAATCAAACTATTTAAATATTCATCAAGTACTATCGAATTATTTATAATATTCATAAGAGACCATCAAACTTACGCTTCTTTGAAAAACGAAAAAAAAAAATTAAAATCCTGTCAAAAAATTAGAGGGCTGACATAAAAACAGATACTATTGGAAGCAATTCATTTCAATGATAAAAAGAAATTGAGGGAAAAGATTCTATTTAAAAGAGGATTTTGGCTAAGTCAAGAGGACATTGATAGATTTGTGGGCATTTTGCGGTAAAAGGAAAAACGGAGTGATAGGGTAGTGAATGTATATTGTATATCCCGCCATACATCACACAGTGACATTCTACAAGGGATCTATGATTTCTAGAGATCCAACTGACCAGAGGTGTAAAAAAACTCTTACAAAAGGTGTTAGATTACTGCAAATAGGAGAAAACTCTTGGAATTCAAAAATAAATGAATCTCTGAAAAAAATATTGCACCTTCACACAGAGAATCTAAAAATTTAATGATTGCAATATATTTTACTCAAGTTTTGCAACTTTCGTTACAGATGAGGACTGAAAAAACACCTCATATTTCTATTCAATGAAGAAATTTCTGAGAAAACTTGGAGAGAATAATTTTCCAACAGAATTCTCTTTCCTAAAAAACATGACTAATTTTTTTTCCAATCGTAATAAGGATAAAACTCTTACTCACAGTAACCATTTCCTGCATCTCCGACAGCAATTCAGCATGATCCCTCTTCATTGCAACCATATGCATATTCTTGTTTTCAACCAGTGCGTTCACTTTGTTCTGAATGAAAAAGAAATATTACTTTTCATTAGGAAAATCTTGAAAGACACATTGTCCAAAAACTGATCAGAGGAGGAAAAATAAGGAATGTCATGAGTACAAAGTGAGTCATCTGTGTTAAGAACATGATAATTGTTGAAAGTCAGAAAATGAATGACTATTGCATGGTGGGTTCAAAAGACTCTCAATTACAACATTTTTGCAATTCAATAGCTCTTCTTTTCTCCTGGTAACGTCAAGCCAGAAAAATCATGAAATGATCGACTGCAAAAATACAGTGCATTACATGGGCAGTTGCTGAAAAAAATTAAAGAATCTAACCGACATATTTCATTTAATCAGCCACAAAGAGACCTTTTATGGGGTAGTTCAATGATACAAATCTAATAATGGAAAGAAAGCAGACAAAACTTAATCATTTAAGAGGCATTCATATTTAAAAGAATAATGGAAAGAGTATTCATTAAAAGTACTTTCTGTACATGTAAATACAACCCACAAAACAGCAAACATTTCAGAGCGCCGTAGAAATTTTATACATACATAAAGCCGCTTTTATGATTTTTGAATTTTATTCTTGGAATAATTTTCCACGGAGAAACGCACAGCATCAACATAATTTTATCAACTGAACTGCCATGCTGTGAGAAAATTGTGCAATGAGATTGCTTATCTTTCATTGGTTTCTTAAACATCACTAGATTTAAGGAAATTTTTAGACTTTGACTTTTCCCATTATGTTGAATGTAGCAAGAGGTAATAATGCTAAAAATGGGGCTTTTTTTTTTCTTTTTTTTTTTTTGTAATTGTAAAAAGTGCTAAAGGCAAAAAAATTAAAAATGCGAGTTACAGTACGCCAGGCATGTTAAACATGGCTGCAAAGCCAGCCTTTAAGTCTGGAAGAGTAATTAGATGTAAAACGGAAAAAACAGAGTCCTTGTAATCATGTGACTCACCATAATATCCTGATTGACAAATGAAGAAAATGTTGACAGGTCTTGAAATGAAGCTTGTACAAAGTCCTTTAAATCTCGTCTCAAACGTTGGAATTCCTCCACTTTTCTCAGAATAATAGCTGCACTTTCCTTCTTCTGCTCTACTGCAACCGAAGTTTTGTTGAGATCTGCACTTTGCATCTTCTCTAACGAAGACTGCATCTTTAAATTTTTCCCTTCTAGTTGATTTATTAGATTGATACAATCATTCAATTTTTTCTTCACATTTTCATTTTCTTCAACACTTCCTCTCAGTTTCTTAAGTTCTATTTCTTGCATTTTTAGACGTTCATTCTGCGATTCATTTTCCTCTTTACAAGACATCAACTCCGAGTTCTCCTTTTCTAGACTTCTGATTTGATTCTTCAGTTGGAGAATCCCTCGTTGATGACTTAAATTTGTTTGATCAAAATTTTCTTGCAATTTTTTTAACGTTAAATGTATTCTTTCATTCTCTGATGCAAAATTATCTCTTTCTTTCCTAATGGCATCGATTTTTTCAGTGAGCTCAACTATCTCACAATTAAGTTTATCCCTGCAAGATTCAAAATCACAGTTCTGTGCCTTTAACTTTTCATTTTCTTCAGTTAAATTTTGAATATTACAGACCATCTGTTTCTCTGTGCTTTCAAATAAATGCTTTTCATTCAATAACTCCTTATTTTGTGCAATTAAATTGGCCATTTCTGCACTTAATTCACTTTCACTTGATTTCAATTTGTCAAGATTTTTTTCAAGTTCTAATTTTTCTTTGTTTAAGGCACTAATTTCTTTTTGGAAGGATTCTGCATTCTGATTATTCATATCCGTGGCTTTTTTGTCCAACTCATTACACTTGTCTTGTATTTTGACAAAATCGGAATGCAGAGAATCTAACTTCTTGGATAACTCCATGTTCTCACCAGCTAGCAGCGATTTTTCCTCTTCGAGTTTCTTGCACTTTTCAGCACTCTTAATTAGGTCTTCTTTCGAAACAACTATTGTTTCAGACTCTCCTTTCAATTGGCCATTTTCTAACTCCAGACGATCTTTATCACATTTCAGTTTTGATACTTCCTCTTTGATATTTTCTAAAGTTTTTGAAATTTCATTTTTATCAACGAGGAATTCTTCGCTGAGAGCAGTTTTTTCGCTTAAGGCAATATTCAGTCGACTATTTTCTTCTGCAAGTTTTTTGTACTTCCAATGCAAATTTGACACTTTTTGTTTCAAACTAACTATTTTTGTATTTTTAATACTGCTGAGATGTGCTTTGGCCGCCTGTAAGTCTTTGTCTCTTGCTTCATTTTGCGATAGCAAAGCACTCAATTCACTAATGACTGTTCCCTTTAGATTTTCAACCTTCTGTTTTAACGAAGTAACACTATCGAAAGCAAAAACCAGTTTATTTCTCAAAGTTTCATTTTCTGCAAGCAGCGTATTTTTATCTGAATCAAGAGGACAAGGGCTTCCTAACTCCTGTTGAAGCGATTCATTACACTTTTTTAAAGTTTCAATCTCAGTGGATAATGCAGAAATATATTCATTTTTTTGTGCCAGCTCCAATGATTTTGAGGTGAGATGTTCAATTTCTTTACTCTTTTCGAGTATTTGTTTTTTTAATGTATCTACTGCACTACCTAACCTACCGTTTTCCTCTTTCGTCAGTTCATCGGCAACTAGAAGCTTGGCCACTTTTTCTTTGAGCTTTTCAATTTCATATTCGTTATTTTTCTTTGAATCTTGCAAGGTGGTTACCTGCTTTTTGAGTAACTCATTGTCATCAGATAATTGTTCTGAGTTTTCAATTAACTGACGTGTTTCGATAGATACTTCTTCCAATTTTTTCACTACTGCTTTACGCGTTGAATTTGCTTCCTCCAGTTTTTCTTGAAGTTTCTGGTTCTGCAAACGTAGTTCCGCGATTTCATCTTTCTTGCTTGTGTTTTTTAATTCTCCTGCAAGAAATAAAAGAAACCTCATTATTATGATATATTACCTCTCTTTGACAAATATCAATTTGCTTCCAGAATACAAAAAAAAGAAAAATGATCCTTACGAAAGAGAATGTTATTGAATTTGAATTATACAAATGAATAAACGGACCTCTAACTCTTTCAAACACTCAGAAATCAAACATCTACTTCTGCAGGAGTCTTTTGGGATACATGAGTGCTCTTCCAAATAATAGTTTCTGTGTACATGTACACTGAGATGCAATAAACAAGAGCAAGCATTAGTGGTATAGCAGGGGCATCCTGATGCAGTTGTTAATGCTCCCCAGCACCATGCCTTCGACCTAATAACCCCTTACCCCATCCTGTACCCCTGACGCCCATTCTATTTCCCTCACACCCCTCTTTACTCTTCATAATAAACAACCACAGTATCTAATAACATTTTAAATCAGGCTCAATCCCCCCCTTCCCCTGCTTTTTACACTCCGCCACTGGCAAGCTTTTCGCAGAAAGCAGTTACTTTACTGTAGCTTCACATTAAGTAATCGGAAAAAGAGGAGCTGACAAGCCGATAGATTCCAATTGTTCACAATTGCCGGACTCCAAGCCAGGACTATGTTTTAAATACTTGCTCTGTAAAGACAGGCAAAACAAAGTAACTGTTCCTCTTGTGAGAATTCAAGATATAAAATGCTTCAATGTATTTATCAGCTAAGGAGTTTGCCATGATTTTTAAACATGAATTTTTTGAAAGAAGCTTTCATACATACAGTATCATAACAGCATGAAAGTTGAATATGAGTAGTAAAATTTGATTTGAGGTGTCAATTAAGAGGATTGATACACTGAAGATTATGGTACAATATTGCTCTTAATTGGTAAAACTTAGAAAGAAATTCGATTGTACCTTCCAACTGCTTGCACTTCAGCTCTGATGCATCTAATTTTACCAATAGTTTTTCATTTTCATCTGACAATCGAGAGATCCTCCTCTCACAGCTTTCTAACTGTGCTTCCAAAATATCTACATCAGCACCACTTCTAGTCTCTGTTTCATTAGCGCTTGTTTTCTGAAAGAAAGAGATAAAGTTGATGTAAACATACAGATAGAAACTCAATTGCGATGAAAATACAAGCTGACAAGACGAAACTAACAAGAAAAATTCCCTACTACATCCATAACCTCATAATCCCTGAGGGATCCTGGACACTGCTGTTGGAGGAACAATTCCTGGAATAAAATCTTACTAAAATATCCTGGGGAATTTTTCCTCAAGTCTTCAAAGACTTACTGTAACTCAGCAAATTTTCGACCAAATGACCTCATCTTAGGCTCAATGAAGAGCTAAAGATTTAAACCACAACCTCTCATATACCACATTCCTAAATATTTTACAGTTTCTGAGCTGCAGAATCAATCTCAGTTATTTTGGGACAGCTTTTGTGACACATAATACGTTAGAGCCTATTGTGTGTACCACTTTGAAAGTGGATAATCTTTGACCTAATAGGTAATACTTATGAGCCCTAAATTGGAGATAAATAGTAATCATAAGTTCTTGCAACCACTCAATGGAGGTGACAAGCTGTTTACAAAATTTTACACTTTATGATATGGTAATTCAAGCACTTAATTTAGAATTCAAACGAGAAGAAAAAGAGTTACTAACCTTATCTGCATTTTGACATTTTTTCAATTCTGCGTCTAGATCATCTAATTTCTTCAGTGCTTCTGTTGAAAAAATGAAAAATAAGAAAATTAGTAGGGAAAAAAATCATTTGGTCTACATAAGGGCTACCAGGATTTATTAGAAGTCATAATTGTTTTATCTGGAATGATGTATAGTGGGTGTTGGATGTCTATTTGACGGTATAAAATTGGGCTACTTCTAAGCAGTTGCACATTTTCCTAGTTTTTCTGCATCCAATTGAATCCCTTTTATTGGTTCCTAATGGATTTTAGTATCAATTAAAACATTTTGTCTAGGTTCCAGTGATTTTATAGCTAGCTAGCTAGCTGCAAATATTTAAGCGCCAGCTTTGACAACAGCTTCAATTAATTAGCCACCATGGAGAATATTTGAACATAAATATTCTGCAGAATATTTGTAGATAGTCTGAAAAAATGAGTGTTGAATTCTAAAAATTAAAGATAACTTCCCTCATTTAAAAGAAATATGACAGATAGCTTGATATGCAGTAAACAGAGCTACGATGTTTCTTAGTTTTAATGAGGAAATATTGCAACAGGATTTAACCAATTTTTATAATACAGTGCTCTCTCTCTGTAGCGACACTCTCCGCAACAGAAAACTCTCTGTGACAGATGTATCCACCGGTTCCTTGACGTTCTTATACTAAATATACTCCTTCTGTCTACCAGATCCCTCTCTGTTCCGGATGAACCTTCCAGTCCCTTGAAGTACACTACAGAGAGGGAGTGCTGTACATTAAAATTTCTGTCGGATTCAAGAACTGGCTATGTATGTTATGAACTCAATTTTTTTTCTTCCGATGAGCTTGAATTGACATAGAATTACTGTAATATAATGTAATTCCATAACAGGGTCGATTCCTAATGAATACGTACCATCTTTGGCTTGCTTGGCTTTTTGAGCGAGAGACAAATAATGCTTGCATTTGGTGATCAGCTCTTCTCGACTTAAATCATCCATCATCAGGCCATTGAAAAATGTTGTTTTAAATCAATCTGAAAATAAGGAAAATAAATTTACTGAAAGACTTTCCATTTACAAAACCTGCCCTACATGAATATCAAAAGCAGATCAGCTCTTTTTCCACAGGACTGACCTTGCCTTGGTGGGCCTAAATGATAATAAATGATCAATTACCTATCTACTTTGCGGACGATCATCTGTCTCCACGCAAGTAACGTATTACATGAAGTGAGATCTTAACTAAAATTTTCACAAAATCAGCCGTTCCAAATCCAACCTTCAATACCAATTCTACTCTTACCATGGTTTCATTTACCATGCTAAATGAGTACGAAATGATTTCTACAGATTTTAGGGTCCTTGTTCAATTAATATGTATTCAACATTGGCAGTGTATGGATCCATACATTGTCAAGGTTAATCCATCTTGGGAACGTCTTCCTTCAGCTCCTTCTCCATGAGACATGATGATTCCACGCAATGGTGAATAATCCACTTCATAACGATATAGAATTAGTTCCGCAATGTTTGTCAGAATAAATTTAAAAAGATTGAACTGCCTTGAGAGGATGGTGTTAGAGAAACCTGGTCCAACCTACTAAGCAGTCTCCTCAGTATCTTACCTTCAGCAAAAAAGAGCGATAATCTATGAAACATTTTGGGTGGCTTAGCCTGCCTTGCTGACACCTATTAATGTCTTCTAGAGACTGAAAACTGAAGTCTAGGATGGATACAGATCTTGTTCAACGACATGATTTGAACGGAGAAAGTTAATTCCAGAATCTGTTTAAAGAAAGAATAATTGTGATAAGGACAGGAGGCAGTGAGTGAAAAACTACACTCCGAGGAAGATTAATAGTCCCGTAAAAAGACTGAAAACATCGATCAGTTCTGAGAGAAATATTAATGACAGAAAAACTGATGAAACTACCTGCATGAAATGTGGGTTTGTCAAGATAGGAGTGCCAGTCTAAAATCCAAGACCAGAAACTGATAAGCACTTCAGCTCGCTGAGAGGCAGTTACATCTTTCACGTTTCAGTCATTTAAAACGGTTAAACTAAATTTAGAGGGCAAATTGATTACAGCAAAAGTAAAAAATTGAGATTTCAAGAATTGTTTCACGTAGCACAAACAAAACAATAACCTCAAAAATGGTCAGCTGATCATCAAACAAGAGACGAAGTCACCTGATCATCGTTCCGCCACTCTGATTGGAGGATCGACTAAGTTCCTTAATTAATGACACGAATTTCAAATTAACGCGGGAATTTTTGAATTTACGCTCCCGGGGCTACTGGAGCGCTCTTATCCAAGGTGAACGAAAAGTATAGATACTTGTTAATATCTCAAGAACGCTTACAGATATCGATATGCGGTTTGAACGAGACGTCTTAGAATGGAAAAGAAAATATTTTTTGAGGGGAATCGGAGCGGGGACGGGGAGTTACGATTCCCCCTCAAAAATTGTTTTCAATTTTAGATGGGAACACTCATCGTGTGAGACCTCGGTAGATAGATCATTAAAAAAGGAAATTTTCGGCGCAACCCGCTGGTCATCGTTTCAACGGCCGGTTAGAGTTCAAAATGGGCGCATATTGATATCTCGATTGTTTATGGGTTGATTTGGAAGAAACTTATTGGTATCCGGAGGTTTTTTGACACGAAAAGAACAAATATGACATAAAAATTAAAGACTATTGATATATTTTAAGGATTACAGCCTTCAAAATGTGGCGAGCCGCCATCTTGAAAAGGTGCGATTGCTTTTTAATTCGGACGTTCGATTCGTTCTTTTTGTGCCAAGAATCTCTGGCTTACGAATTTCAGCAAAATCTACCAATAATCAACTGAGACCGCAACCACTTTCCGTCTTTATGAAAATATTGCAATACTCCTTAATTTGGATATCAGATTCAATATTTTAGTGCCAAAAAAAACGCCGGACGCCAAGTTTCATCCAAATCGGCCCGTGAAAAACCGAGGTACAGCCGCTTTCTGTCATCTTGTAAGCCGCTCCTGGTGAAAGTGAGCCACCCTGATGTCAGTCTGGCGTAAAGTCATTGTGACGTGAGACTGAGTCAGGGTGCTTTATGAAACACACTCTGAGTCAGGCTGACTTCAATAATAACCTCAGTCAAGCTTAGTTAGCCTGAGTCGGTTGATCTAGTCGTGCTCTGTTAAAAAGGTATCATAGGGTGTTGGGATTTTGCCCCATTTTGAGATTTAAGGGACCATGGGGATCAAACAAGCTTAATTTTCTTGTTTTTTCCAATGAAATAACCAATCACGATGATTTAGTTAATTTCATGAAAAATGTATGTAATTAGGAAGGAATTGGTATTACATGTGCTGGGTTTGCTCAAAAAACAAGGAAGATATATCATCTTGAAAAACGATCCAATTTGGGCCTCCGTAGACATCGGCAAGCCGGTCTTATTTTGATATTTGAACTACATTTTGCAATTTGGCACTATGAATTTATAGGTCCAAATTGCAAAATGCAGTTATCCAAGGAAGACCAATAATTAAATGAACCCTGACCAACAACCAACACTCAATTATAACAGGAGACGAAGCAGTTCCTGGCTATCTCTTTGAAAAAGCTCTGAAAATACGTAATGAGGAACGTGAGTGGATTAAAATTAAGTAAGTTCATTAAATTGCTCAACAATCCGTCTGTAGTTAATTCATATAGAGCAAGAGTATTTTTATTTTACCGTCTAAGACACTACTGCTATTTTATGTATCTGTTTTTCAACCGCTTGGTGCTATGAGTTTTTAAAACTCTAACAAACCGCATCGATTAACCATCGACTCGTCGGTTTTATTGGGCGGAAATTACAACTATTTGATCCGCAGTTGTGCGACCAAGACATTCAACGGAAGCATCAGACATCGTTGCAAATTTAATTGAAGGGCAAAAAAAAAATTGGAGACTGAGGTCATTTTTTAATACTTTTTCTATCATTGAGTGTACTCAAGTAGTCGTTTGCATGTTTTCCTACGTAACCCAATTTCTCGAACTGGGGAATGACATTCTACTCTCAACTGTAGGGATTCGATTGGTATTATGCCATCCTCATGAAAATTTATTTGCTTGCAGAAATTCGAGGAAAACGATGCCGTAGGAACGATAAATAATTGCGCGTCTTAAATCAAACTCGACTGAAAAAACGGAGAATGAGGAGTCAATCAAGTTCGATTGAAAAGGTAAATATTGAGGAAAATCCAAGACTTGTGCACGTGCCCATGTCGCACTCCATAAAGTTTGTTAGAACCAACTAGCAATCCGTAATCCTATTAGTTGATATCGTTCGCTTTAGATTTGCCTTCAAATTTGCAGCGTAAGCAACAAACATACCGAGAAGCTCGAATAGTTATCTACTTGAAAATACGCACATTTATATTGATCCATAGTTTTCTATAGAATTAATAGACTCTACATTGAAAGGTGTCCTCCTCTTGAAGTTCGCCTTCAATTTTGCCGTACAGGCAACAAACATACCGGGTAGCTCGAATAGTTATCTACTTGAAAAAAAAAAAACGCATCAATTTCGCTAACTAAAATGTAATCATCGATTGCTAAAGTTGAGGGGTGCACACTTGTCTCTATAGCAGTGTTTTAAGATCTCTGATTGTGTTTCATCTATTGGAAGAATAGTGGCCGAAATATCTCTATGGAATGTTGTGAATATTTTTGAATGAATGAAGAAAATTCAAAGCAAATTTAAAAAAAAAAAAAAAAAAACAATTTTTTTTAAAAATTGGATAAATATTACAAAGAAAAAATTAAAACTTAAAACATGGTCATATGCGACGAAAGATTAGATCGTTATCAGAGATAATTATTTTTCAATAATAGCCATCGATATGGTATGACGATTGAATCAACGTTAAGGAAGATGAACTCTCTTGCAAAAGTAAAGACATTAACAACCACATTAAATATCAGTCTCTGCTTTTTATTATATATTGACAGCGAAACTCCTAAACCACGTATCTCGTTCGCGGTGTTTGAACATCTTCGCTCCTATTGAGGGCCGGATTAAGGGATTGGTCACATGGGCCGCGGACCATGGCGGCAAAATGTAGGGGGCGGCAAATTTTGCAATCTTTTTGAATGTAGGTATCAAAAAAGAGAGAAAAAAATCGGATTCAGAAAATAAATTACAAACGAGAAAAGACGACAAAATCTCTCATTTCCTCAGAGTAAAAGTATAGTAATTTCTAATTTAGTCGTCTCTCGGTGATACAAGAGACAACACCTTCAATTGGACGTATTTATGTTAAAAGGAACTACGTCTCACGCAAACCCCATTCACATAGTTCCTTTTAGCATAAATACATCCAATTAGTCGAGTTAAGAGAGAAACCAAACACGCAATTTGATCTGGAACGGAGCGGCGGTCAGCATAGCGCCTACAAGACTGCATGGATACTTCACGCATTGCGTCAAACATACTGCGGTCAGCGGCAGTCGGCTGGAAACGCATAGCGCCTGCAAGACTGCATGAATACTTCACGCATTGCGCCAAACGGTGTGGTCAGCAGCGGTATCGGCGTGAAACGCATAGCGCCTACAAGACTGCATAAATACTTCACGCATTGCGCCAACACAGTGCGGTCGGCGCGGCGGTGGAAGTTAAAATTTTTAACCACATTTATGTTTGTTCTTTCATAATTTTTTCGTTCGTTTTTTATAAATGGAAGGCCTTGTCCAAACAGGGATGGGTTTACGGAACTGAACTTTTGTTAGTGTTGACAGGGCTTTCACAAAAAATGTACCCAACACGAGTAAACGCGTCTCATACACCCCTCCCCCACCGGCACGTTCACTTGATGGTTTTTATAGATCGTAATCGACGGATCACACGGGTAAGATTATATTGATATCGACTGGTTCAATATGTTGGCCTCGACTTGAGAGCTTTTTTTTGAGCTTAGGAGTTGATTACAGAGAAAACCAGTGGCATCATCGTGTTTCTCGCGAACCTTTACAAAAGAATCAGCAGTCAAATCGCAAATTCCTCACACATGCAACATCTCTATTGTCGGAGTACCTAATTTGACGAGCCACAAAAATTCATAAGAATTAGAGAAAACCTTTCTTTAGTTTTCACTTCCCGAGATGAGAATTGAACGTAGATTTTAAACACCAAATTTGAAGAGGATGTGCATTTTTTAATAATTTCATGTTTTGCGTGTGTGTGTGTGGGGGGGGGATAAACACGATTTACCTGAATCAATAATTTTGTGTAGCCGATATATTTGATGAGATTGGGCACCCATGTTGGCGGGAGCGTAAAACGCACTTGTGAATGAGAAAGACCACCGCACACCGGCCGCGCCATCTGCCGGTGCCGCCGGCGGAGTATCGGTTAGGATACGTGTGAATTATTCAACAAATTTGCATAACGACGTAATATCCCTCAGGGTAAATGCCAGGGGTTTTTTCTTGCTGCCCCAGACAGGAAAGCTCTGCGCGCGACGATGCGGCACAGCGCGGCGTGACAGTGCCATTGCGATATTGACAGTCGCGGCTGCCAGTTGGGCCCGAATTCCATCAAGTCGTGGGAATGCTATTCTGCCGTGCTAAGGAAGAACGCCGTATGAGACTTCAGACGTTGCCAAGTTCCCTCCGATAAAAACCGAAATTACTGAGAAAATTGTGAATATTATAATCCAAAATCTGCAGACAATTTTGTACGCAATTTAATCTAAAATATCTGCAAATTTCAAGAAGAAATATGCATGAATGTATGCCAAAAATTCATGTTTTATCAAGGGAAATTTGGCAACTCTCGGATGTTCATACGGCGTTCTTCCTTAGCACGGCAGTATTGGAGATAGTTGCGATCATTTTAGCACAATCTGGCAACTTGACGACAAGACGTCGGACATTTGATCTGGAGTCCGCGGTAACGTTCTGTCAATCTCGATGCGAATATTATGGCAATTAATATTGACCACCCGATGAGGATCCCTCCCTCTCTGTCCGCGATCTTTAACTAGGTTGAAAAGCGGGTCCGATCATTACAAACTAGATGCTTTTTTGTGATTTGTCCCCCCTCGTTAATTTTCTCAATACCTTATCACCGACATTTTCTAATTAAACATTTGAAACACGCAGGATTGACACGAAGGGTATA